CAAACTATAATAGAAAGTGACATGCCCTGTCTTTTCATCTTGCAGATGGCATCTGAGGCAGAGTGCTGTCCTTTGGGTGTGTTCAAGTGCCAGCTCTGYTCTGTGACAGCTCCATACAGCTATGTGGGGCAGAAGCCCCCCAACACCCAGGCTGTTGTGTGAGTACATGTTTTGGGAGCCAGTGCCCGGGGTGGTTTGGCAGATGCTGGGCCTGAGTCTGACACCTGGCTTGGGTGTTGTGCCTCAAGCCTGTTCCTGCCCAGGCTTTGGGTGTTTCGGGTATGACCAGTAGAGGCCCAGGCAGGACTTGAGGGCTTCTCGGATGTCCAGCCCCCAGGCTTTTCCTCCTAGCACATCCCAGGGTTCAAGGACTGTTCCAGCCACGGGGTAGAATSTGTGGCTACGCTGAAACATCCCAGCAGTGGGCAACAGAAGCCATGGTGGCCTCATCATTTGGGGCTATGCCCTGTTGTCTGGTGCTACTTCCTGGGAGGGACACCGTCTTCCTTGCTGTCCCGGTMGACGTGAGTGCTGAGGACCACCGCTTGTGGGTCTGCCCACAGCAACCAAGAGTGGACCTGGTCTAGCACTTGCTTTTGACCTTTCCATGTCTCAAATCAGAGGCTACATGGGGGAAGCCGACCATGGCCCAGTGGCAGGGGCACCAGGCTCCTTTCYTCTAGCTGTGGTTCTTCTGCTGACCAGGAATTGTGTCACCATGTAACCCTGCTGGTGTGAGAGCTGGCAGCTTGGGGGAGCCTTGTGCCCACACCCAGTGGTGAGACTGGGGTTGGGGCACACTGGGACAGCCCCCCTTCTTGTTACTAAAAAGGACTTCTCTCTACACGGATGGCTGGTRTAGACCAAGACTGGTTCAGGTCTCAGTTCTCTCCTGGCCTGCAGTGGCTTGGCCATTCAGTCACTACCCTGTGGCAGAGGTGGACAGCCCCTCCTCTGCTGAGCCTAGGCAGGGGTGCAGGTCCCAGCAGGTCCCCTATTGCACAGCCAGTGCTGTGGCTCACAGCCTGGTGTCCACTGGCTTAGGTTGGGCTTGTCTCCTGCAGCCTGCTGGAAGAGAGCTACGTCATGAAGGACCCCTTCACTTCAGGCACAGACAGATTCCTGGTCCTTGGGTCCCGGTGCAGCTTATGCAGCAGGCTGGTGTGTGTGGGTCCGGTGGGTAAGCCGCAGGGCCAGGACTGCCTGTCCTCACTGTGGGGATCTGGGGGCCCGCCCGGCACAGGTGGAGCCAGGGAAGCCTTTGTTGGAGGGCAGGTGAGGGTCAGGTGGAGTGTCTTGGCCTGGACAAGGAGTAGAACTAGATCCTTGCACTGTGGTACTGGCATGTGGCCAGTGTGACCAGAGAAGTCCTGGAGGCTGAGAAGTCCATGAGCATCTGCCACAGAGCAAAGCACATAAGAGGGAAGAGATACAGACTGCACCAGCCCACCAGCCCACCCCTCAAGGYCGGCTGATGAGGGCGTGGCTGAGCCTTACACAGGCAGGGGTCAGGAGAGGTGGTGGAGGGTGAGGCACAGGAGAGCAGGTGAGCAGAAGGGAGGTGGCCCACACGGGTATCTCCATGGCAAAGGACTGCTTCCAAGAACTCAGGCAATTTGGTTAGTAGTTGAGGCATATGCCATGGTGCTAAGGGGCTGGAGAGAGACCCCCAAAATAGGGTGGTCCAAACAAGAGATACAGTTATTTACTCATTTTCTTATATATGAGTCTATGCCAGGCAGTCCTTGCTGGGTGGACTGTGCTGCTRTCATCAACATACAACATCCACTTGGGTCCACTGTGGATCTTGCAGCTTCTACCATCACCCAGCTAGCAAGAATGGACAAGGGAGCATATGTCCCTTCCTTTGGAGGGCATGATCAGGAGGTAGCATACTCATGATGACACCCGGACCATACTCGCCCCATGGCCATACCCAGTTGCAAAGCGGGCTGGGAAGTGTCCTGAGCTGGGTGCAAGGGGGAATCTCAGCAGTTATAGTATTGAGGGTCATGAAGGAGAGTGGACGTGGCTGGGAAGGTCTGGCCTCCTGCCCAGACCAGTCACTTATTGGTGGCCTCTCAGGTCTGTGGGGCTGTCCCTCTCATCCCCTGCTGCTCCTGGCACAGGCACTTGCCAAGGCCCTGTCCTGCTGAGATAACCAAGCGAGGACACAGGACTCCAGCCCGAGGTGGGCTTTACTTCTGACGGAGCAGGGCAGGCCTGGCATCTGTYCCCCCGTACCCCCTGCCTCCTGGATGCCTTGCCAGACCCTTAGCTCTTGCTGCTCTGGCTGTGGCCCCMGCCCTCCCTGTGCCTGTGGGGGGCCGCTGGCAGCTCTGGAGGAGCAGCAGTGTCCAGGCCGCTCACTGCCCTCTCCCCTGCCCCAGGAGTGCAGCTTGTTCTACAGCAGGAGGTTCTGCCTCCCTTGTGTCCAGGACAACATCAGCGCCTTCCCTCGGGAAATCCAGCAAGATGTGGAGAAAAGGAAAGGTCCTAAGCGGCCCTCAAGCCAGCCCTGTCCTTGAATGTGAGTGCAGTCTGTGCCAAGTGGGCAGCAGCCTCCTGCGCAGAGCTCCTGGCCTGGCAGGGAGCAGGATCTGCAGCCCAAGGGAGTGGAAGAGCCATGCCAGGAGGTGGAGCAGACAGCCTGTGGGTCCAGCCTAGTGCTGCGGAGCTGCCCCCAGGGCTGAGGATTCTGAGTGAGAGGGAGACTCCCTTCACTGGGCAGCTCTGGTAGCCCGGGAGGCGCACACATGAGGCCTGGAACATGGTGGAGGACCACGCTGCCATCTGTGCACAAGGAAGTCACTCTCCGAGGCTGCCTTCATGCACAGCAGCAGGTCTGGGGGACAGGATTTTTTCTTTACATCCTTATGTAAGCTTGGAAATGTCCTGCATCTTGACCACTCACTGCCCATTACCAACATGACTGAGAACCTGAAGAGCCCACCAATGCTCTGAAAAGAAATTCTTCCACAAGACACTTGGAGACTGGATGTCCCCACAGGCACTCTGGGATGGCAGTGTGAAGATGTTTTTTTGTGRACACTTTGGGCAAGACATCATGGACAGGCAGTGGAGGGGGTGTCAGGAAGCGAAGTGTCGGCTTTCCAGCTGCTCAGGCTGCCTCCAGCCCGGGCCCCGCTGCACGCTCTGCCCTGCACTCTCAGGTCAGGAACACTGGCTTCCTTCCCTTACGCCACCCCTCGCCACCCTGCACTCAGCCCTCTAGTCCCACAGCCTCCCAGAGGTCCCCATGTCTGCTTAGAGTCTCAGAGGCAGGAACTGCTGCCTTATTCTGTGACCACGGCAAGGCAGACCATCAAGTTGGGTGAGATATAAAGATCTTTGACTGATGTGTACACTGGATTTTATTTAAGAGCTTCCTAGGGGCCGGAAYTGTGGCTCGAGTGAGAGCACTCGCCTTGCACTTGTAAGGCACTGGGTTCGATCCTCGGCACCACATAAAAATAAAGATATTTTTAAAAAAAGCTTCCTGTTTCGTGTACTTCAGATTCATGGATGTCATGTTCTGGGGCCACATTGTCCTAGATCCATTCTGTCCTGCAAGGCAGAGGGTGACCCTGTGGTGACGGCGAGCTCCAGCAAGGGCAGGCCCAGAGCAGACCCAGCTGGGCTTGGTCTATACAGAGCAGCTCTAATCACAGCATCATTCAGGACTCACTGGGTAATCTTAAAAAATAGTTTATTTTTTAAAACCATTAAGGCAAAACTGTGCCCTGAAATTAACCTTTTACATTCACCAGTCTTACAGTAGGACATTCCAAACCTAAGTTCCCATGAATTCAGGAAACAGATCAACGAGTGTGGTCAGTTCACTCTCCTAAGAGGAAAGTGAAGACCCAAGATCTAAAAAAATCAAGGTCATGCTATAGCCATTTCCAAATTACCTGGAACCAATCAGTTACCATGACTAGAAAAATGACACCTGCTTTCCTGTGCACACCCTGGATTCCTGAGGTCCTGGATGTTCCCATACCTGGGGAGGACCCTGGAGCCAGCTTGATGATTCCAACTTGAAACTGCTGCATTTACTAGAGCCAGGAGAGGGCTCTGAGCCCGAGCACTGTGAGGGCGAGAGGCACATAGGAGCGGTAACTGTGACTGGCAAACCCTCTCCCCGGGGCTTTAGCATAAGAGCACGGTGGATCCCTGTGGRTGTCAAAAATATACACCACAAAGAAATTTGGCCAAGAAACTGAAAATGACGTGTGGGAGGCTCCTAGGCTCTGTGCTTCTGGTTGGGCCATYGAAGGCCACCATAGAACCTGCAGGTGCAAACAATAGAGTGTTCCAGATGGCTAGAGCTCTTTGGTAGTAATCCATAGGTGGTGCCCTGAAGAGCAGGAGCTGTTTACCAAGCAGGAATACATAATGGTCCAATCAGAACACTAGTACAAAGTGACCTGCAACCTGGGGTCTGTGGAGGCTTTGCTGGTAGAAATGCATAAAGACAGACTTGCACTTCTGCATGTAGGGGATGCTGAAGGGGGATCTACACACTGAGATAAAGCCTGCATGGCTCAGAAGAGAAAAACTGGTGTGCGTGTGTGCGCGTGCAATTGCAATTCGATTGTTTTGTCTCAGCTTCATTTTCAGTAGGTTCACGAGTCAGCCTTTTAAGCATGTACATCACAAACCAAATGTTTGCTGTTAGATGTATGATTGCAAGTTAGCTGTTTGTATTTTTTTTTTTTTGAAATTGAAAAAAAAATAATTGAACCCAGGGGTGCTTAACCACTGAGCCTCATCCCCAGCCTTTTTTTTTTAAATACTTTATTTGGAGACAGGGTCTCCCTGAGTTGCTTGGGGCCTCGCTAAGTTGCGAAAGCTGGCTTTGAACTTGTGATCCTCCAGCCTCAGCCTCCCAAGCCTCTGGGATTATAGGTGTGTGCYATCACGCTGGCTATATTGGGATTTTTTTGAAAACTCAAGTCACAGTATTTAAGATACAGCTATTGATGTGATTCTTTTTACCATACAGTGTTGATAAGGTAGTGGCATTCAAGATGAGTAATACTGTAACCTTACCAARAAGGGCATTACGTGGTGTTCACTTATTGTGAGGTATATTTCATTTTAGGCCTGGAAAAGGAACTGACTGTGTCTTTAATGAATGAAGTTTCCAAAAGTGATGGACTCTCCAGAAGGCCAGCCACTGGGCGATCTCCAGGGCCAGAGCCCATCCTCGCTGACTAAAGGCAGAGGCGAGGCCCCAGGGGTTTGGGGAAGTGGAGAGAGGGTCCCTTGCAGTTTGGGACACGGCAGCTCACACACCCCTGCCGCTGGCCTCACCGCTTGTCCTAGGCAGCATCACGGTGGTGCCAGGGCTGGCTTGTGCCTGGTGTCCTTGGTGCCGTGTCAGTTCATCAGATTCAGGGACTTGTGATGGCGGGGAAGACAGTGAGAGCAGGAGGCTGGCCTCTCTTCTCAAGAAAAAACCTTGGAGGTTTTCACTGTTTAGCCGACTGGCAAACTTTAAAAACAAAACAGAACGTCACAGGTCTCAATGCGCTGTCTGTGAAGTAAAAATGGATGTTCCTTGTTTCTCTTTGCCATCAACAGCTGCAGGGCCATTAATTGCTGGTCGTGGTCAGGTGCCCTGATCCCACTGCGACGTGGATGGACACCACTGGGTSGTTCTCGCTGGCTGAGAACTCGGAGAGGGTCTGGCAACGTGTATCTCAGTGGGACCACGGGAGTGGGGGGTTGGGGGGYAGCCCGGCTTCCCTCCCAGGAGGGGCTCTCTGGGGAGAAAGGAACCCATTAGGTTTCCCTTGTCTCAGACTGAGACTCTGAGAAGCAAGTGGGCGGCTAACAGGGGACTCCAGCTCTGAGAGGCCTCAGGGGTCCTGGGGCTACCCRCAAGGGGACAGCAGCCTCTCCCTGCCCTCTCAGGAGGGGCCACACACCACCTTTTTCTGATGAGCCTGCAGCTCTGCTGAAGTAAAGTTTGAGAACTCGCTGCGGCCCACTGAGGTGCCCCAGGGACAGCACTGTGTGTCATTAAGCCAGAGCATGCATAAGGCTCCGTATCTGTTTTCAAACAAAATTTCCAATTTCACATTTCAGTGTGACTTTAAAGAAATAAAATGGCCTCCTACATTCATAGCCAGACCAAATCTATTGCTCTAATTCCTACCCTAGTCTGCTTCACAGGCGGGGTGGGGGGGGTGGCAATGAATTTTCCTGAATTCTATTAAAATGGCACCTAATTATGTGTGTGTATGTGTGTGTGTCCCAGAAAAAACCTAGACACCAACCTTTGAGCTCTCTGATATTTCTAGATAGAAGGTCTTGGAGGAGTACATGACTTGGAGGAAGACCAGGTGATGAGTCAGTGATGTACAAGATCCCTTGGTAAGAGGTCCCCAGCTGTCACCAGCATAGCGGAGGCAGATGCAGACCTATCTGTCACCACCCTTTGTTTGCTGCTCAAAACCAAGCTGCCTTAGGGCTTTCTCTGTAATATCTGTGGACGTGATGTCTGAAGATGGGCTAGGCTGTCAGCTCCCACTGTCCCTGTCCCTGGGAAGGTATGCAAGTCCCCTGTGATGACGACTCATTGGTCAGAAGTGTGCCTGTGCAGCTGCCCAGATCCTAGTGCTACTTGTAAAGTGACAAGCATAAAGACAACCCCCCCMCACACACATGGCAGTGCCAGCATCACACTGAAACAAGTGTCCTGGGACATAATCAGCTCAGTGGCATCAAGTTGACTTGCAACTTCTAGAAAGTATGATGCCCTTGCCTATCTTGAGTCTACACCACATCCTTAACTTAGAGGAAGACTCATGAGGTAACTCCTCAGGGCACTGCCTCAAGTCCCCAGGCCACCGCAGTCGGCAGCTTCAGCCACAAGAACGTGGGCTGAGCAAAGGCGACCTCCCAGGTCCTGGAGACTCAGGGGACTCTAGCTAGCTTGTTGTCCCTGGTAAGATGGAGGAGGCGGAGAAGGTGGACAGGCACCACACCCTTCCTCCCCAGTCTGGATGTTTCCATTTAAAATGGAGGCAGATTCTGCATCTGCCCCCTCCAGGGGCTGCAGAGGGAGGAGGCCACGGGAGCCCGCCCTGCAGGCTCGGTGCTGAGCATGTTGAGAGGACACGGGTTGAAGAAGTCCTTCGAAGGGGCCAGAGGTCCTCTGACAAGATGCCACTCTCAGCTGGAAGCATAGACTTTCCGGTTGAAACAACGGGTCCATCTTTAAACCAGATTCAACACAAACACCTGTGGCCACTGGGCCAGGACAAAAATTCCCCTCCATTATGTATTGGCTGCTAAGTAGCAAATACGCCCCGTGTCACAGTAGGTTGAGAAGGGGCTTACAATGGGAACCGCTTGGAGTCAGAGGAATGCAGAGGCAAGTGACAGCAGAGGGAGGTGTCTGTCAGGGTCTCTCCTACAGAAGGGCCTGTGTGTGGTCARCAGGAGGGAGGGCTCCTGCAGCAGGGCCGCCAAGTCTTGCTCAGTCTTAGCTTCTCTAGGTGTGCGCAGTAACTGTTGCACATGGACCTCTTTTAAGACTTCCGTTAAACAACAAAACTGCCTTTAGAAAGTCACACAGCCTGCCATCTCCTTGTGTGCGACAGTCAGAGGTGTGTGAGCCATCAAGGAACCCTGACAGCACCRACTGGTATAGAGATGCCGGAAAGGCCAAGGCTTCTGCCCGCCTTAGCTCCAGCAATGGGGCTGGGCACGCCTATTGAGGTAGCTGCTCCATGAACAGGAGGCTTTTGCCAACTGAGTCGTTCACTTGTCTCTTCTGTCAAACATTTTCCTAGTGCCTTGGGGTTCTAGGCCTCTCTGGGGATGCTGCATTGTCCCTGGACCCTCCACATGATACCAGAGGTGATCCATTCCTTTAGGGTCTTAAATGGCCCAGTGTTAAGAAGGGCCTCAGCACCAGCAGAAAGGTACCTTCATAGCTCTTAAGAAGAGGGACAGCTCTGGTGCATTCTTGAATGTGCCAAGTCCTGGGTTTCTTTCTTACCCACTTCACACTGAATTTCATTTGTGTGGGCACACACTCTTTAGGAAGATGCTTTAAATTTATCAATGAAGGCAGCAAGGTGGGAAGAAAGGACCAGCTTGGCTTGCTGGCTGGCGCTCTGAGGATGGCACTGCTGTGAGTCCTGCTGGCATAACTGGAGCCTCTAATTGAGACGATCTGCACTCACCCTGTCGACCTGGTGCCTCAGGYGCCCAGGTTTCCCAAGGATGGTAGGTACAAAATTCAGTGTGCCAGAAGCTCTGCTGGAACACYGGGAGGCAGGAGAACAGGGACTCACTGAGCAGAGAGGGTCCCATCTGGCTGTGAGCCCCACAATCTCAGCTGCACCCCTGCTTGTGCCTTATTCTACTCAGCATCTGGGGCACAAGGGTCATGTGCAGTCTCTGGGAATCTGGCACTTGTTACTGTTCAAAGGCGAGAAAATGAAGAACTGGGCAAGTTGGAGATTTTCTGTTTGCTGCCTGAGGAAGTGGGTGCCACCCATGTGGTCTAGAGGTTCCTGACCTGTCACATGTCTCTGCTGTACTTTTTGCTGATGCCCAGTGACACCTAGCAAACAGTGAGTGCATTCTTGGTTGCTCCTATTGAAGTGCTGCCATCTAGTGCATGATCATCCAGACTGGATCATTGATACCCTGAGAAATCTTTGATTAAGTGATCCAAGACATTCAGCATTGTGTGGCCATTAGGGACTGATACTGAGATGGGACATGTGATTCTCCTTCCTATTAGCAGAGGTGGACAATGTCAGGTGACTTCTGGGCAGGGGTCTGGGTCTCCAGCTCCACTGGGGATGTCACTGGTCACCTTGCTGGGCCTAAGCGAACCAAGGAAATGAACTGCAGCCTTGGCGTCTCAGAGTGGGCGTTCTCCGCATAGGCAGCAACATTGATTCGCCGTGCCCTGCAACCTGAAGGCTGGCTTCCCTCCCAGTGAGGCCAACCCCCGAGTGGGACCAGACATGGAAATACTTTTCTCTGGACTTCTGATTCCTAGGACACTTGGGCAGACTGCTGGTGGTCAACAGATCCTTTGGATCATATTTTATTTATTTATTTATTTATTTATTTGTTTGTTTGTTTGTTTTTGTACTGGGAAGTTGAACCCAGGGCCTCGCACATGATAGGCCAGTGCTCTACCACTGAGCCACATCCCCAGCTGGATCATATTTTTTAAAAAAGAAAAAAGATAGGGATAAATGTAATTTTTAAAAAGGATGTTTGAACCAAAATTTTCACTTGTTTTCTAGCTGAAATCCCCAGTCCTTTTTATKGGTGCCTTTTCCCAGTGCTGACCCCAGGAACTTTATCAGGACCAATCCTACTCATTCTTGAATAACAAATACTACTAACCTCAGAAAAACCAAATTTCCTAGAGATGGGGGTGGCACACAGGATCCAGCCAGGGCCTAGATGTGCACAACCCCGAGAGGAGAGGAGGCAGTGACAGCAGGCTCAGCCCAGCTCTGGCTGGAGCAACTGCCGGATGTTCTCCATGTGCGTCACCTGCCTGGTGGACAGAGGGAAGGGCCTCCAGGGCTGTAGTTTCTAGACAAATAACAGGCAAAAACCAATGTTTTAGACATTGAGWACACTGCCTCACATAGGTAGTAGGAACAGAAGCCTTGCCTGTCTAGGTCTTTAGTAAAACCAAACAAAACCCAACCGTGGCGAAATCTGAGAGCAGGCAGGACTGTCCCATGCAGGACACCACACCTTGCCCTGTTCTCCAGGACCACCCTGCCCAGGTGACAAAGGCACATTTGCCTCATCTTCACTCCAGGAAGCTTCTCCAATTAAAAAAAATTAACCATCATATTTTAAAAGGCAATGCAAGAAATGACAAAGGGACTGCCGAATGGGCCAGAGGGACACAACAGTCGTCAGTTTGTCCCTAAAACTGATCTCACACACGCAAACAGCCTGACTGAATGCAGGCTGACAGGAGTGGGGGGTGGGGAGAACACTCCCCGAGGGCCCCTCCTGCTCACCAGACACCAGCCTCAGCCCACCGGGGGTCTTGGGATCATCCACACCCACCCAGAAATGGGCTTTTCAACGTATGATTTGTGACCATGAAAATGGTGAGCCAAAAGGACACAATGGCTAGATCTCCATAGCTCATCAAATCCTTCTTGAAAACTCTCAATCCTATGATTAAAAACCAGCCCACTGTCTTTCTTCCAATTCAGGAAATGGAACTGAAGTCTTCCAAATAAATATTTCACTGCGTTTTAAATATCTAACCTTTGGCTATATCTAGATTTATAGGATTATAAATGTTAAAAAGTGCTGATTAGTTTTCCAAATTATAAAGGAGTACAACAGTCAAAAGGGTGGGAAGAAGGGAACAGACCAGGTATTTTGAGGTTACTCATTAATCAAATGGCAAATTACTAATGTGATATAAAGATATGTGCACCGATTAACACTGGGCTGGTGAAAATCAGACCCTGTACCATCACTCCCCTTAATCTCCAAGTGCGGACTGTTCACCCTGTCGCCAGCGCCTGAGTGCTAGGCACATTCTTAGATGTACTGCTGGAGAAGGGGAAGCTGTGAAGAGGAGCATTACCGTCACCCAGCCCTCAGGCTTCCCAGTGTCTGAGACTAAAAGGCTGGAAATCTGTGCAAATCCATGCTGCTCCCATTTCTCCTTGAAAAGTGGTTGCTGTGCATTCACAGAGATCAGTACATGTCCCTGTAGATCTCCTGCAGCAAAGGGTGCAGAGCTGCATCCGACTCTGTCTTTTTGATGGTCTGCACGAGCTGTGCGTGTTCTGTGACCAGCTGCCGGAGGTCCACCATTTTTTGAAGGAGCTTTGGGAAGAGAAAGGCGTCGTCCGGATGGTTGCTCTGCAGGTGGAGTTTGAGCACGTGCACAATGCCCTCCTGCATTTTCTCAATGTGTCCTATGTTGAGAAGGCCAGGACGGTCTGTTCTCGAAGGAAGAGAGAGATGTTCAAGTAAATAATCATCCCATAACTGCTTATCAGCCTGGGGACCAGACACTCCTACCTCACKCGGCCTTCAGATGTCAGCCTGACTAGGACCCAATAAGGACGACAGGAATGAGTAATTCCTCAGTAGTCACACAACCAGTACACAGTCCCCCCTTGCAGGCGGCCCTCTTTTGGATCTGCCTGACTAACACCTGTCAGGGAAAAGAACTAAAGCCTCGGGAGCAGTGGCACATCGTAGTGGCAGGCGACCACTTGTAGCACAGGAATGCAGTACTTCTCTCCCAGCCTCAAGTTCCCCCAGAGAAGAAGCAGTGACTGTGTGGGACTTAGGCTGGTGGGTTAAGGACAGCATGGTCACAGGCACCTTCTGACATGACTCAGGTGAAAGAGGAGAGCAGGAGATGAATGAGGCTGGGGTGGACAGGATGCTGAGGAGRCCTGGAGGGCGGAGGACTCCCCTGGACAGTCTCAGCCCATGAGTCCTGATCTTGGTCCAGAAAACACTCCCCATTCACATCCAGCAGGGATACTCCAYAGTAAGAGTGGGGGTTGAAGGCCCACTCTTACTGTGCTCTTCAAGCGTGGATAATGAAGGGAAATTTTATCTTCATTTTTTTTTTACTTGTAAAGTAAATATAAGTATTAAGTTTTAAATAGAGAAATCATTTAAAAGACAGACCACCTCTCTTGTAATTTTAACCCCACCTAATAGATTTAACCTATCTCACTGGACATGGCTAGATACACAGGATTAGTACTATATTATCCTTTCTACTATGTCTTGATCAAACAAAGGACAGTTATCAATTGTGCATGCCTCTSTGCCCTTGCATCATTGCTGCTGGGCCATAGGACTCCTTCCATCTGACCAGTGCCCAGACAGATGCCAGCAGGTAGAGTGAGGAGATCATGGCGGACAGCACAGCTGTGGCAGTGGGTGACTGCCCCCCCCCACTGGTCTCTGCCTAGGCTGGGCAAGGTCAGCTGAGTTTACAGTAGGTGGATGACTTTCCTAGACTTGAGACATGGCTATTTAAAGAAACATGACACTGAGCCAAAAATCTGGCGTTGCAGAGCAGCTCCACAGAGAGGCCCGATTTCCCTGCCTGGGATCTGTTTCCTCTGGCAGAGCAACACTCAGCTGCCCGCGAATGACCAGTATTTTTCATTGTGAAGTAGCATAAGTGTTACCAAGAGTGACAGCTGTCATACCAACATCTGTATGGCACTGTATAGAACATTAGCTATAGCATGGATAGAGCAACAACAGCTGTGTTGAATATTAATTAGTGCTATAGAATGCCAGCCTATAGTACCAGTGAAATCTGATATGCTTATAATGCTAGATATAATCACATTACAGTGGAGCACATAAAATCATCATCAATGTTTATATAATATACAACGGTGTACACCATAATGTCACACAACACTGCCAGGGCTCCCCCGTAACTCTGCTCGGTGGCAGCTCCGGCTCAGGCACCTTCCCCCCTTGCAGTGCCCATTTTGACATAATGGAGCTCAAGCTGGCACTGGGATGACAGTTACCAAGTCCCTCAAGAGAGGAGCCCRTAAGTGACTGGACACCAGTGGATTAAGTCGAGCACTTACCTCCACAGCAAATTATAGCAGCCACAAAAAGGGAGATGTCACTGTCATCCAGCTCCAGAGCATTGAACTTCATGGCGAAGTCAAACTTGGGTTCCATGATGTCACAGAAGGGTTTTCTCAGGTTTTTCAGGAATTCCCGTGTTATGAAGCCATTGCCATATGCCACCAGCATCCCATCTTTGTTCATCAGGGAGGAAAGCATTGTGAATATGGCCTCATAAACGCCATATTTGAGCAAAGTGACTTGGTCATTCAAGTCCAAGTTTGCAAAGCCTGGGATGGCCTTGGCGAACTCCGTGAGCTCTGTGACGGTCTCCACCGACATGCACTGGCAGCAGTGGAAGAAGCGGACCTCAGCCTCCTTGTTCTGGATGCCATTGGCCACCATCTTGGCTACAAGTGTYTTTTCAGCCATGCACAACGTTTCCATGTCATGGATGACAAAAGGCTGAAAAGAAAGACCCTCACATCAGGCAGGCAGGTCATGATGAGCTATCTAAGTGCTGAGTCCTGATATAACTAGGTGCTCTTAGTTATGGTAAACCAATGAGGAGCTACCAAGTCCAGGTCACAGCCCCATAACTGTGTACACTTTTTAAAAGATGTTAAAACAAAGTTCTGGCGATGGAAGCAGAGACGGTTAGCCATGTTATCAGCATGGGGTGATGTGTCTGGTGAGGCTGAGAACAGGCATGAACCAGCTGCTGGCCAGAATTAACATCTCTGTGCCAAGCAGGAGGAATGACAGCATCTGGGGGATCTGACTGTCCCACAGCACACACGTGTGCTCACACACACACACACACACACACACACACACACACACTCACCACGTCAGTAAGGAAGTGCGGCCAGCAGCATTTCGGGGCCCACCTGGCACACTGAAGCACAGAGCAGCAGCAGCTCAGTGGTTTTGAGAATAGTCTGCCAGAGGCTGGACACACCACTGAACACACCCGGCCCCGAGGCCTGAGTGCTCCCTATTTCTGGGCTGCCGAGCATCGCCAGGAGCTGCAGTGTTGAACCTCAGAGAGGGCTGCTGGGTGGGCCTGCAGCACACATGGATAGGCTGGGGACAAGCAGGCTGCCTGCGAGATGTTTAAGAACTGGAACTTATAGATAGCAGAAGTAGACAAAAACTTGACTCCACCTGAGGAAAGGCGACACTACCTGTACTTGTGAGTGAGTGAGAGCACATTCTCAGCACAAAATTCAAAGCAGCCAGGCGCTGTGGTACACGCCTTTAATCCCAGCTACTCAGGAGGCTGAGGCAGGAGGACCTCGAGTTTAAGACCAGCCTGGGCAACTTCGCAAGGCCCTGTCTCAAAAAACAAACAACAACAAAACTGAAAGCCAACTTTCCAAATAGCTCAAATCTGAATAAGGAAGACAAAACAGTCTCTTTCCAACTTTAACCACAGGCCAGATGGGTGGGCACCATGGTGCACACCTGTAATCCCAGCGACTCAGGAGGCTGAGGCAGGAGGATCACAAATTTGGAGCCAGCTAAGCAACCTAATGACATCCTATCTCAAAAAAAAAAAAAAAAAAAAAAAGAATAGAAAAGAAAAGGGCCGGGGATGTGGTTCAGTGGTAAAGTGCCCCTAGGTTCAATCCCTAGTATTGGGGGAAAACATCAGGCCAGATAACCATTGTTTTGAAAAAAATTGGGGCACAGTTATGCTTCACAAAAAAATGAAGCACAGATTTAAAGAATTGATATTCACAGGGTGGACCAGAAAGACACACACAGTGACCTCTGCATCTGTAGGTTCTGCATTCTGCATCCGCAGAGTCCAAAAAAAAAAATTGGATCAAAAATATTTTCTAAAGAAATTGTGTCTGTACTTGAGCTGGGTGCGGTGGCGCACACCTGTAATCCCAGTGGCTTTGGAGGCTGAGGAGGAGGATCGCAAGTTCAAAGCCAGCCTCAGCAAAAGTGAAGCAAAAGTGAAGCACTAAGCAACTCAGTGAGACCCTGTCTCTAAGTAAAATACAAAACAGGGCTGGGGGTGTGGCTCAGTGCTTGAGTGCCCCAAAAAAATAAAAATAAAAAATTTGTGCCTGTACTGAGTCTGTACAAGCTTCTCCCTGCCCCCACCCACTCCAGCAGTGTTGGGGATGAAACCCAGGGCTTTGCCCATGCTAGGCAAGGGCTTTGCTATWGAGCTACACCCCCAATCCCCAGACATTTATTTTCTTGTCATTATTCCCTAAACGCAGCATAACAACTACTTCCATAGTATTTATATTGTATCAAGCATTAGAAATCCTCTAGAGATGATCTTCAGTATATGGGAGGATGTGCGTAAGTTCTCGGCAAATTCTACCCTATTTTAAATAAGGGTCTTGAGCATCCTGGATTTTAGCATCCATTGGCTTACTGGACTCAGTCCCCCACAAATACAGAGGGAAGACTGTATTTTTGAAGGATAAATGGGAATATTCTCTCAATTACAGGAAAACATACTAGTAGACCACTTTACCTTTATTCAAATAACTGTCATTTTCTTTCAATTTTCTTTGGTGTCACTGGGGCTCAAACCCTGGGTCTCACTCTACCAAGCAGCTGCGTCCCTGGCCCATAACTGTTTTCTAAAGTACATAAATGAAGGTGTTGAATAAGTAAAGTGGTTCTATGGTTTAAAAAAAAATTAGAGCAGTTAAATCTTGGGACCTCCAAGAATCTTCACCGTGGCAAATGTGTACTGCAACTCTTCCAGAATGAGGCTAGGTGAGTGGAGGTTAGAGTACAAGGGGAGGAGGGGGAGGAGGAGGGGGAGGGGGAGGAGGGGGAAGAGGGGAGAGGGAGGAGGGGGGAGGGGAGGGGAGGGGGAGGAGGGGGGAGACTTTTTTGGGGGTGGGGATAGAGCATCTCACAGGACCAGAGTAAGCCCAGCTATATAATTTTTGTGATTTGAAGTAGCAAAATGAAAAGGTGGGCCCTCTTTGAGAAGGGATTAAGACTTCCAAGATGGGCTGGGGTTCAATTCCTAGTACTACATAAAAATAAATTAATAAAATAAACCTATAAAATTAAAGAATCATATATATAAGTAAAACTACTTCCAAGTCGGCCACAGTCAGCCCTGGAGAGTGAAGCTGGCGGGTGAAGCCGGCACAGGACAGCACTGTGTGGAAGAGACGCTCAGGAACAGGCAGAGAATGCAGATGTGAGCTAATGCTGTCTYGATTCGTTTTTATAAAACCATCACTTGGATTCTAGAAAGTAGGCCTCATCTAACAGGTAAAATTGGAAACCATTTGATTGGAAAAATGGTTGCTAACATCGAGAACCTAAAGCTTGGTAAGAGAAACTCTGCTGAAACTCCCTCGAAAGTTTGCCACACTGAATTGATCAACGTTTTGTAAGGTGATCTTTTTGTGTGTGTGTGTGTGGTGCTAGGGATTGAACCCAGGGCTTTGTGCATGCAAGGCAAGCTCTCTACCAACTGAGCTATATTCAACCCCTTGTAAGGTGATCTTTAAAATCCATGCATCTTGTGCTTAATTCTGAAATGAGTTTTTTTTTTTTTTTTTTGTACTAGGGATTGAACCCAGGGGTGCTTAAACACTGAGTCATATCCCCAACTCCCTAAGTACCTTTTTCTTTTCTTTTTGTGAGATAGGGTCTAAGTCCTTAGGGCCTCTCGGAGTTGCTGAGGTGGCTTTGAACTTGCTATTCTCCTGCCTCAGCCTCCTGAGCAGCTGGGATTACAGATGTGTGCCACCACTCCTGGCTGTAATGTGCTTTTTATAATGATAGATCTGACATCACAGCCTGCCATTTCAATAAAGCATGCTGCAGATTTTGGACAGCGGGAGACAAAAAGTGCCAATTTCCCTAAAACCACTCTGAGGAAAGACCAGAGAGTGCCCCTACTTGACCCAGCACTGTCCCTGATCACACATCGCTGGGTTCTAYGGTGCCCAAAGACATCACTCACGAGAATCAGTCTCTAAAGTGTACTTCGACATTGAAAAGTCAGGCCACTGGTCTGTCTGGAAAAAATTAAATGTGAATCCTTGGTAGAACTGCTTTGGGTACAACTAGCAGGCTCTTGGCTGCGCTTGCCTATAAATTCCTATACAGAGTATTAAACTCTGTGTTCTTCAATATGAAAATGCCTCAAGGGGCAGATATAATATTTGTCCTTAATACAGCAGCAAGCCCACAATAGGGTAGGAGGTGACATCCATCAGGAGAAGCAGTTCTGCCCCGACACGCTGCTTGGGGACACCTTTACTCCACAGACTCTGAAATGCTGAGGACATGTCTTTCAGAATGACTTTCAGAACCTGTGCTCAGCTGCGTGTCGAAGTTGGTCTCCTTGCTTCACTGTGTTTTTTCAAACACATTTTGACATTTTATGCAATCCCAAKTGGCGTCCATGTCGCCCACAACTGACCAGGGTTTTGTCTAGGGTTTGACTGTGTTCTCAGAGCTAAGGTTTTCTATAACTGAGGGTGTTTAAAGAATCCAAAGGTGATCCCCAGAATAGGAGTGGTGGGGCCCCGACATGAGTGCGACACCCCCGTCATTACTGTATTCATGGGACTGAATGAGGCTCTGATTCGAGGGGCTGACATGCAACAGTACTGGGCATTCAGCCGTGAGGGCCTGAGTTCAGGCCCGTGCACTCGACACTATGTGATCATGACCTTATACTTTGAATTTCTACAGTCTAAATATTTAGTGCCAAGGGTTTGTTTGGTTGGTTTCACCACTTTTCAGAAGGTGTAGCCAGCTCTCCAAACTAAGAACAGCTGCCTGAGCAAGTGTGTGCATGCCTGAGTGTGCCTGAGTGTGGAACAGTGCACAAGCGTGTKCGAGCATGCCCGGGGAGCAGCAGGAAGCAAACATTCCAGGACAGCTGCTGGCCCTTGAGAGCTCCCGACCCACCTAGGATCGCTCTAAGAAGCTATTGAAACACCTCTGTGGAAGCCATGCCCAGAGGAGACCCCTGTTCCCTCTCGCCCCTCCACCCTGCTTCCACTGGGTCCCCCTCAAGTCAAGGGGCAGCAAGTTTCCCTCCACTCTGGCCCCATCACTAAGGGCCCTGACCATTTTCTGGTACAAGGACCTGAAACCTCAGGGGCCGAGACCAGTCCCGGGTCCAGACAGAAGCAGAAGTTCCCACGTGTCTCCTCAGCTAAAACCCACCTTTCAGCAAAGCAGTGTGGCCTCCCTGCAGCTGCCTCCCCTCCCAGCAGTGTCCAGGGGCTTTCCTGCAGATGACTAGTCTTCATAGAGCAAAGGAACGGTCTTCCACAGGCCGTGCTCAGTCCCCTATTTCTAGAAAACCACAGGAGCCTTTGACATGCCACCTGTCCAGCACCTACTTGTCCCCATTAAGGTAGGGAATGGTTTAGGGCCAGGTGCCGGTCAGAGCTTAGGAGGGGGCTGGTGGCTACTCGCACCCGCCCAGCAGATCTGCAAGGAGCAGGAGGAGGTCTGCACTGAGGGCCGAAGGGCCACCTTTCCCCAGCACACTGGTCGTGTTTGTCCTGGTTGTGCAAATCCGTCTGTTAGGGGCCTAATTCATGCTCCTCCTGAAGCAGAAGCAGAAATGAAGTCAGCTGCAGGCTTCAGGCCTGAGGCTGGCGGCCTCTCTGCAGCTCTGCTGGAGGCTGGAGGTGGCGGAAAGGTCGTCCCAGGCTGAACCTATTGAAGCAGTCACTGAGTATTGGGCTACTGGGCAGGGACAGGGTGAATGCCTGGTCTCCCTAGCAGAGCTCCCACCAACAGATGGGACTGCTTCTAAATCAGCAAGCTAGGGACTGGGCCTTCCCCGGCCCCTGGCAGAGACAAAACCAGAACTCTGTGAAGAGCTCTCGGGCAGTGTGTCCTGGTGGAGGGCGCCCTGCCAGTCAGGCCTCTCCCAGGCTGGGTGCAGATGGAGGAGCAGAGAGGAGGCCTGTGGTGAAGGCCAGGAGCTCTGTAAGCCTGCCAGCAGATGGGCAGGACCCATGGTGGGACATGACCTGGCCTGGAGCTGACAGTGTGGTCAAATGCAACGAGTGACCTGCAGCTGGACATTGCAGGGTGCCTGGCACAGAGGCGTCAGGGCAAGAGCAGGCATCTGGCTCTTTGCCAAGTGAACCCCAACCTAGATGGTAACCTAGTGCATTTCTCCTGTGTCAGTGTCCTCAAGAGTCTGACTGGCCCAGCTCTGGCCGAGGGTGGGGGAATTCCTCATGGGGCTTTTGGATCTTGGTGGAGAGAAGCAGAGGAAACTGTGGGGACCAAATCAGCATCAAAGATCAGTATTTCATTAAGTGTAAAAGTGACTTTTAAGTGTGCTTCAAATTCTTTAAATTCAAGGGAAAAATGTAAGATCTCAAACGGAAGTTTTGGATCTCCGAATCTGGGGTTCTCTTAGCCATCTCCGGGACAGAAATGTAAAGTTAAAGGCTACTCCCTCCACTTCACCCTACAATCCAGAAAGGGGCCACCTGGTGTGGTGGTTGCTGGTGACTTTTAAAATCTCTCATCCTATTTGACTGGAGAATGCATGGAAGAATTCAAAGGCTCAGTAAAAGAGAGGTTTGGTTTGGTCATGAAATTAAGCAGCTCATGAAATCCTTTATTTTACTGTGACTAAAAATTCTAGCTTATAATTCCCAATAAGGAGTGTTTCAAGGTATTCATTAGCACAGATTAAACCTGTCATACCATGCTCAAAGGGGAAGGCAGAAGGACGTGTGACCACCCTAGGACCAAGCCCCGTGAAAGCTGCCGGGACACCACTCCTGACATGGAGACAGGTGCATCAGCCTGCAGGGGCTGGGGACAGGGTACATCTTAGCTGTCCCTAAAAAGGTCCAGAACTATCCACAAAGTCAGTCGAGTTTCTAGAAACAAATGAGCCTTTCTAGGGCTTCCTCACTGCAGGGAGGGAAGGCAGGAGGTGTTGGGGGCTGGAGGGAAGGTGGGAGCCAGTGGGCCAGTTTTAGGGGAAAGGATATGAGGGCATATTTTGAATAAAAAGTGAACACATTAATTTTCTGGCCTCAAAGATTTTTTTTAAATGCACTTAAGAAACGATGTTGGCTAGGCATGGTGGTGCATACCTACGATCCCTGCAACTAAGGAGGCTGAGGAAGGAGGATTGCAAGTCTGAGGCCAGCCTGGGCAACTTGGCAAGACCCTCAGCAAATTCGTGAGACCCTGTCTCAAAATAAAAAACGAAAGGCCGGGAATGTGGCCCAGTGATCCAGAGCTCCTGGTTCACTCCCCCAGGGTCCCTGGCAGCACACGAACCAGACCTCTCTCAGTGTGTCAGCTACACAGCCTTGATGAGCACTTGCTTGCTAGGCGCTCCAAGGTGCACTCAAGCAAGAAGCGTTGCTCTAAAGCTACATGTTAGTCTGGGAATGAACCGTCTGCATTCCCACTTGGCCTTTCATTTGCCTTTGGGATGAACACCRTCTTTCCCACACTGAGGTTTCCTGGGTCCCTCTCTGTAGCACTGGTTGAGGCGTGGCCAGGGGAATACTTGAGACCCTACCAAAGGGCAGCAAAGGCACCTACTGGATTGTGGCCCGTCTTTCCCGCGAGGATGACTCGGGCTTTGATCTTGTTCATTTGAAAGTTCTTCAAGTAGGCCTCGTAAATTCTCTTGGCAAGAGACTTGAGATCTGCAGTTTCAGAATCTTCTACATCATGTTCACAGGTAAGAATTTCTGCTTTCAATTTTGCTTTCTCAGATCTTGGCATTCGTCCAAAACGAATTGCTGAGGTGGGGGTGGGGACAACGGGAAACAAACATAAATAAGCAACGTGGGGAGAAGATCAGGCGAATGTCAGCAGGTTGAGGAGGGCTGGCCAGCAGCTCCTGGTGTCACACTGCGCGAAGGGGCCTCACAGGGGTCCAGCCCACTCCTACTGCCACGCGGCCTTCTACCAAGGAGAGAGAAAACAGCCCAGCCTCCAGAAAGCTAGGTTTTTTAAAAGAAGGCTAAAATAAAAGCTAACGCCATCCCTCACGTCATCGGCAGGACAGCCGACTGTCCTTGGGTAGAGTGGCCTTCATGGTGGGGGTTGAAACGAGCGGGCAAAGACGAGCCCACGTGAGCCCCTCCTTTACACGGCCTGCGCCCGGAAGCCAGCCATTCTAAGATCGCATCTGGCTGAAGCAGAATGTGACGAACCCCGAGCGTAGCACATGCCAGAGCTGGCCCGCACCTCACAGGGAGTGGCCCTCCTGCCACCCCGGACAGAGCACTGCCCACCGCGTGAGGCTTCCAAGACAACTCCGCACAGGTGCTCTGCCCAGCCACTGCTGTGTCCTCCCCACATCTCTGTCCTCAGGCTTCTCTGGGTATAGGACGACTCAGGCCTGGAGTGTCCCAGCATCTCATGCAAAACCTGGCCCATTCTGAGGACCGGGAAGTGGACTGCGGCACGGACAGCACTGTGTGGGCAGCCTTACCTACCGTTGTGTGACATCCCCACGGACAGGCACTTGTGGAAGCGACAGTACTGGCACTTATTCCGATTCTTTTTCTGGATCTTGCAGTTGCGGTCACATTTGTCATATACTAGCTTTAGCCGGATGGTTCTCCGAAAGAAACCCTGCAAGAAGAATGTGTGGCTCATTAAGAACAGGCACGGCTGGGACACCTTGAGGTCTTCACTCACCTGTTCTGTTCATTTGTTGTCTCTTTTTAAATGATGTGTGTTTAGAGAGACAATCTTCTTAAAAGTCTCACATAGCTGGGACAGATAGAGAACTTAAGCTTTTCATTGCACTTAAAATGAACAACAATAAATGAGGCAGATTCAAAGTAATTTCAAAATGTCCCATTGTGAACATGCCTAGATCTCTCAAATGCCATATGTCCAGAGTACCAAACCTGAGAATGTGTGTGCAGTGCCATCACAAAAGGGCGTGATACTTCAGCAGAMCTGCAGGATGTGACAGGTCAGGGTCCTTCTGTAAGGACCTGGTCTAGGAGCAGCTGCTGGACCACAGGGCCTGCCTTGTGTACTCCTGGTCCTGATCATGTCTGTCTGGCCAAGATATGCATGGGGTGTGGGTGGCTCCAATGGAGAGGTCCCCTGAATACAGGGATGAAGTGCCAGAGGCTCAGAAATGGTGGCAGAGGAGCTGAGCCCAGGTGCTGCCCTCCTGGCCCAGGCACTGTGGGGCCTGAGCAGAAGTCTGGACCCCTGGCGTCGCCAGCTCCTCACCTGCTACATGGGAGCAAGAGCCTTACCTGGCCCAATCAGAGGGTCAACAGATAAGTGGGTAGACACGCTCCACATTAAAGCTGGTTTTCTGTCCAAGGACACCCTTATCTCAGTTATGTACAAGCTGAAGTAGAGCAACCTGCCGGACTCTGCGATGAGAGGAGTCAGCCTGTCCCGGGGATCAGTACCCCTCTGTGCCTTCTTCAGGTCTCTCAGCAACAGACATCTGTGTCGGAGACAGCAGTAGGCCCCCCCACCCTCACCCGTGCCACTGTACCTTGCAGCCTTCACATGCGTGGACCCCGTAGTGGTAGCCCGAGGCCTTGTCCCCACAGATCCTACACTCGATGTTCAGTGTGCCGCTGGGAGGCTCATCCACGCTGCCAGGAACCGCAGGGTAACTAACTGAAGAGGGACTCGAAGCTGGAGAGAGGGTGTCTACAGAAAGAAGAGGAACGTGCATGAACATTCCCGGTGTCACGCCCTGTGGAAGCCAGGCCCTTCTGCCGCGGAGGCACATCGTGTGTGGTGTAGGCTGGGCAGCTGCCCATCCTGCGCTGGCCCTGTCCCTGGGCCGTCCTCTCTCTCTGCTCCCTGAGGACCACAGTGCTGGGCTCGGGAGCTGCTGTGCTCTAGTTGGCACCTGCTGAACTGTATCCTGGGCTGCACAGTGTCATGGTGGCCTCTGACGGGCCYCCGCCTGTGGGCTCCACATGCCCTCTGCAGAACTCCTTCCCTCCAGTCAACACAGGAAATGGGGGCAGAACACAGGACTAARACCTCCACAGGCAACCCTGCGAGCAGAATCCAGGGGAGAGAAGTGAAGTAAGCTGGGACTTGGGGAAGTTAAGAACTCCTGTTAAGAAAATGAAAAGCAAACCACAGACTGGGAGAAAGTGTTTGCAAATCCCATCTGAGACTTATATCCAAAATCCACAGAAACTCAGAAATAAGAAAACAAGCAACTCAATTAAAATGGGAGAAAGATCTGAAGAGACACTTCTCCAAAGAAGGGAGACAGACTGCTAGAGTGTCCACGAAGGGAGGCTTCCCAGCACCTGTCCCCAGGGAATTGTGAGCCCAAGCAGCGGTGGCACATCACTATGCGCCCATTAGGCTGTTGAGAACTTCTAAACACCTAACAATGGCTGACCCTGGTGAGGACCTGGAGCAGCGGGTGCTTCTGGCTGCTGGTGGAGGACCCTGGAGGACTGTGGGGCAGTTTTTGGCAAAGCCAAACAGTCTTATAATGGGAACTGCAGTTCTAGGTACTTGCCCAACTGATTTGGAAACTGTATCCATACAGAAAACCACACATGAATGTTTATAGCAGCTTTTTTATTTTATTCCAGTTTTTCACTATTGGAGATTGGACCCAGGGCCTTACACGTGCTAGGCAAACGCTCTGCCACTATATTCCCAGTCCCTTTTACTTTAAGACAGGGTCTCCCTGAGTTGCCCAGGCTGGCCTGGAACTTGAGATCTTCCTGCCTCAGCCCCCCAAGTACATAGGATTTAGGCATGTGCTACCATGCCTGGCTAGTTTTATTCTTAATTTCCCAAAAGGGAAGCAACCAAGATGTCCCTCAATAGGTGCAGAGATAGACTGTGGTACATCCATACAACGGAACATTATTCGGTGTAAAAAGACATGAGCTCTGAAGTTGTGGGAGACATGGATGCTCCCTGTCAAGTGAAAGGGGCAATCTGAAGAGCCCTCGTGACTCCAGGCACACGGTGTTCTCAAAGAGGCTGCACTCTGGTGATGGTCAAAAGGTCAGCTGCTGGCCTGGGGCTGGGGAGGCAGGGCCGAACAGGTGGAGAGCAGGTGCTCTTGAGTGGAGAATGCAGTGGGGCACACGTGGCACTGAGTTTGACACTTCAGAGCGAACGTTAAGGTAGGAGGAGTCTGGATCCCAGGGTGGAGTGCAGAATGGGAGGAAGCCATCCCACTGAACTGTGTGTGTAAGAAACCCCCCACTAAAGGAGGCGGGGGAACAGGAAACCAGGATAGCTGTCAGACTGAAGGCGCTGGGTCTGCCCAACCCAGGTTCCAGTTGACAGAGTGGTCTTCCTGGGAGCACGGGTCAACCATCCAAGGCCACTGTGCAGGCAAGCTGGAAAGGAGCTATTAAGTAAGTGGGTGGATGACGGGAGCCAGGTTTCTCTCTGCAGGAGGGTGAGGTTACAGGTAGGCATGAGGAGGGGCTCAGATGATCCATGTGGTGTGGATTAGCATCACAGGCTGCAGTGTGAACTCATGTTTAGCTTAACATAGATACTGATGGGTGTGGGGGGGAGACTGACAGATATGTGTGCACACATGTGCAATATTAACACAAAGATGGGTGCATGTGGAAAGATGTGCAGATTCGTGTGCATATGCGTGTGCTCATGTATACATATACACATGTCTTTGCTCTTTCAGCTGAGAAAGGTCAGGGTCCTTCTGACACCCTTATCTCAGTTATGACCTTAGAAAAAAAGGTCACCCTTAGAAAAAAAGACACTTCATCACAACCTGACATGCCCAGAGCCAAAAGTACGTGGGACACAGAGGGGTTGGGTACAGTCCCCCTCCCACAGTAGACAGTCCCAGAATTTGTGGAGCATTTTCAGGGGCAGCCTCCACGCAGAGGGTCTTGCCTCAGCAGTGAGGGGAGATCACCTCCCAAATAAGGACTGCCATGGTCCTCTCCAACAACGCTCAACAGCTCGGCCTCAAAGGACCGACTGTTTCCAAGTAACTCAACTGCACCCCAGAAAGCAGCTTAGAAACATAAAAGTACCCACCACCCAACAAAGTTCACCACATGTAGAATCCAACCAAAAACATGACAAGACATATAAGTCAGAAAAATGTGGCCCAGGATGAGAAAAATCAATGAACTGGAAGAAGAACTACATAGGCTAGAATTCCTAGCCAAGAACTGATCATATTCCGAATGTTCAAAAAGCTGGATCAAAGCCCGGCTGCGGGCCGAGAGAAGGAGGAGGACAGAACCACGATGTCTGTGTGGAGGGCACACGAGAAGCTCGGACACCCAGAAGAAAAGACCAGAAAACCTGAAGACACAGCAGCACCGACTTCCAACAACAAGGTCGTATGAAGACTTTCAGACTCAGAGGCTGGGCCTCCSGACCAGCAGACCCCAGGACAAGGAGCACCACAGGAAACCCCCAGAAGGAAGCCAGGCCAGGTGGGAATGTGGCACAGAAAGGCATCAAGAGCACCAGGAAAGGTAGTTCTGTGGGTACATTAAGTGACTTTCCTTCTATTTAAGTGTCTTAAAAAGATAACTGGCCATCCAAGGTAAACAACACCAACACACCTCGACGTTCTTAACACAGTGGAGATAAAACAGTGCCACAAATGCACGAAAGGAGGCATGGAAGCCTGTGTCTGCAAGGTTCCCACAGCACTGTCAAGCAGGGTGGTGTCACCTGAAGGCAAACTGAGAAGGTAAAGATGTGTGCCACCAGTCCTGGGGCAATCACCAGAATAATAGATTTATTTTGTTTCTTGGTGCTAGGGATCAAACCCAGGCCCTTGTGCATGCAAGGAAGCATTCTACAACTGAGCTGTCTCCCCAAGCCCCAAAATAATAGTTTTAAATCCAACCCACCACATAAGTTAAAAGAAAAACAATGGGAAAACATACACCATGTTAAAACAGGCCATGTTAACGACCGTCAGGAGAAAGTCGCAGTGGCTCCATCACTATCAAAGTCGTGATCAGAAGGAGATTTACCAGGGATAAAGCAGGTCAGAGAGACCAGCTCATCATGAAGACACACTAATGCTAAAGGGTTACACATCTAAGAACAGAGCTCCTAAAGCTGTGAAGCAGAGCCTGTGACTGACAGGACAAACAGTCTGTCCCAACCGGAGTGGGAGGGGCCGGCAACCTCGCTCAATTACTGACCACATAAGCAGAGGGACATGGAAGATAATACCACTGGCCAAGTCCATCTGCCTGGTGTCCATGGGACACCCCCCGAGCAACTGCAGAGCACACGCCCTTCTCCAGGCCACATGGGACGTTTACTAAGCCAGCCACACTCTGGACAAAAGACGGCTCTTAATAAATTCAAAAGGATTTAAGGCATCCGAAGTATGTCCTCTGGCCACTATGGAACTAAATTAGACATCAGTAACAGAAATGGATCTGGAAAATCCTCGAATATTTAGAAATTCAAAAATAATCACTAATTAACCTACAGAGTCAAGGAAAAAACCAAAGGGAAAGTCACAAGGTTTCAGAACTGAATGAAAGGACAACCTATTGACATTTGTGGCACGATGCCAAGGACTACTCAGCTAAAAATGCACAGCACTAAAAGCCCAATTAGAAAAGGAGAAGGGTCTCAAGTCAACCACAACTTCAGGGGCTGCAAAGGAGAGAGGAAGACCCAACATCCGGAGAAGGAAGGAAACAACAGAGACTACAGTGGGAATCCAAGGACAGAAATGCAAAAGAGCAAAAAATGATGAAACCTACAGCCAGGGTTTTGAGAGCAATAAATTCACAAGCATCTTGCTAGATGAATGAGGAGAGAGAGAAGACACAATTTTGAGTATCAGAAATTATACCAATGGRGCTGGGGATGTGGCTCAAGCGGTAGTGCGCTCGCCTGGCATGCGTGCGGCCCGGGTTCGATCCCCAGCACCACATACCAACAAGGATGTTGTGTCCGCCGAGAACTAAAAAATAAATATTAAAAATTCTCTCTCTCCTCTCTCACTCTCTCTTTAAAAAAAAAAAAGAAATTATACCAAAATATTAAACATATATATATATATATATATATATATATATATATATATATATATCAGAGAGGCAATATCTCATAGATTCTACACACACCAAAGATCATAAGGGAACAGCATGAAAAACTTCATGCCAATAAGTTTAACAATCTGGATGAAGTAGACACACTCCTGGAAAAACACAAATTGCCAAACCTTATTCAAGAAGAGGGAGAGCAACTGAATGGCCCTCTAAACGCTGAAGACACTGAATAGGTAGATAGACAAGCCATCCCACAGAGAACTCCAGACCAGGTGGATTTGTCTGTGACATCTCCATGCACAGTTCTGCARATGCCCTTCCACAGAACCCAAGAGGATTCCTTATTCCACTAAGCAAGGATTCATCAAGACCAGAAAAAGACATTGCAAGAAAAGAAAACTAGGGCCAATATCCCGCAGAAACATGGGTGCAAACACTCTTAACAAAATGTTAGCAAATTAAATCCAATAATATATAAAGAGGGCAATACATCAGTCATAAGGTAAGTAAGATTTTCCATGGGAATGCAAGGCTAGCTTAATATTTCAAAAAGATAACTCACCATATTGACAAACTAAAAAAGAAACACCTTTTGGTCACCTTACCAGATGCACAAAAAATCTTTCCCAAATCCAACAACGATTC